TTCCTCCTGTAGCTTACGAAACAATTCTGTCTACACGTGTGGTTGCAGTATCCGTCTTGACTCACACTTAATTCAGCGTTCGGCTGTTAGTGGCAGCCGCCTTGTTGGAGTGTAGAGTTGCAATGGAACCTTTAAATCAATAGATTTACAAATGAGAAACCTCTGTATTTCTTTTAACTTTCTTAACCACATGGCTTATTTTTAAAGCTCTCTTGTTGAAGTTGTTGGAAAGTAGCAGGCATGATTTTAGAAGCTTCCCCATAAAATATTCTTTCGAGGGTTAGGTATCAATCAGGCACCATTCTGTTTCGAAATTCAGGTGTGTCAGAAATAGTGGAAGGAAGTGCAGTTACCACTAGTGGAACAGGCAAGTTGATTTCACCCATGACGTGGTTGGAAGGAAGAACTCCAGAGAGCTAGAAGTTTCTGTAGAATTAGATACCGCTAGAAAAGGGCCCCTTTTTCTTGATACCAAGAGGCTAGTTTATTAAACATCTGAAATCTGTGTTGAAGTTGTATTTCTGCTTTCAACGACAGTAAGACAAATCACTTATTCCCTCAAGATTTCATTCTGATTAGACCTAGGTGATCAACTAATTTACCTTGAAGGTGACTTCGAACTCCAGAGTTCTATGATCTTACCAAATTAGAGGATGGCGAATAACTTTAAAATAAGATTAAAGAGTACACATTTGATGGGCAAATCTTGAGTTACCGTACACTTATTTACTATCCCCAAAGTATCGAACCCTTTAGTAATTGCATTCACCTGACCGCAAGTAAGTCAGCATGTAAATATGTTCAGACATAATGAGCGCTGAGCTACTGATTGCCTATTATTTTGATTATTTGCAATACTAAAGCCAGCTTTACAGCAGCAAATGCATTAACATCTGTGGTACACAGATGTTTTATTTTGTTTCCACTAAAATATCAGTTTATTTCTATGAATGATATGTTTTAACAAGAAATCGTTCAAAAATGATGCATATATTTGTAAGCATTTTTATTTGGGCAGTTGTGAAAACAGTTACTATTTAGTTGAGGTATTGTATTAACTTTAAGACAGTAGTTCCTGTGCTCTGAGATGCAAGATACCATCTGATTGCAGTGGTTCATAAGTACAGTTTCTAGAGAGGTCATATGGAGGAACCACCACGAATAGCCCAGAGCAATAGCGATTATTGAGATGAGTCATAATTTCTTCTTAGAGTGAAATGTGGTCATGGTGGTAGTCTTTCACAGCTACTGTAGCTCTGTAGAAACCAGCTGGTTGAGTTTCTTTTTTCTTTTCTTTTTTTTTAAAGATTTATTTATTTATTCATACAGAACTGGGGTACAGGCCAGAGTTGCAGGGCAGTGAGAGGATTCATCAGAGACAGAGTGGGGGGCTGAACAGGCAGATCAAGGAAGTACACTGCTGAGGGGAGCAGCGGGCAGGTCAGGAGATCTGCTGCACCATGTGGTCACCTCCCAGGCAGGCAGGAATTGAACTCACACGGAAGTGGCTTTCCATTCTTAGTGCTGTGCTTTAACCTGCTGCGCCACTAGGGAGGGCCTGGTTGAGTTTCTTAATCACCATATGTGCTTAAAGTTTTAGCTTTTGCAGAGTATTTAAGTTAACTGCTAGTATGCAGTGTAGAATCTCTGAAAGAAATCTTTTGATTGGAAGAATTCCATTTTTAAAACTTAAATTTGGTTTGGTGACATTCTGAGTATTTTAGTTCATCTTGGGTCAGAAGGATGAGCAGCTATTCATAAGTGTTCTTTAAGAAATCTTCTCAATGAACAATGACATTGTTCATTGAGACTTATTTGCAAAGAGTAGGATTTCAGTAACATTTCATAATTTGAGATAAAATGTATTTTTTTTAAAAAGGATTAGAAAAGGAATACCAGTGAATCTTTTTCACAGGTATAACTCCCTGTTATACAAATGTGTGAATCACTTAGAGATTTTTAAAAAGTATTTCTTCAAAAAGGTATGTAGAGGGCCCTCCCTGGTGGCGCAGTGGGTTAAAGCACTGCACTAAGAAGCTGAAACCACTTCCGCATGAGTTCGATCCCCGCCTGCACTGGAGGTGACCACATGGCGTGGCAGACCTCTCCTGACCCGCCCGCTGCTCCCCTCAGCAGTGTACTTCGTCGATCTGCCTGTTCTGCTCCCCACTCTGTTCCTGGTGAATCCTCTCACTCTCTGCATCTCTGGCTTGTACCCCAGTTCTGTATGAATAAATAAAGATAATATTTAAAAAAAAAAAGGTATGTAGAAAT